CCCCCATTGCCACGTGGCATCGCCCTGCCTCAACCTGATGGACACGCGAATGAGGCGCCGGTTCAGGTACTTCTTCTGCTCCATCAGGTTCCCTGTGGGCAACAATGGGATGTCGGGGAGGGGGGGGCTGCAGACCTCAACACCCCCCCCCGTTGTCCCACCCCACATCGGGGCCGTACCCTCCTCCCTCTTGCTGTAGTAGGGCCCGAAGGCTTCGTCGCGGGGGATGTTGGGGTGCAGGAACTGGAGCGGGTTCTCGGGGATGTTCTCCTCCACCAGCAGCTGGTAGTCACGGATGATGTCGGGTAGCGCCAGGGACACCAGCTCGGCCGCAGTGTAGGGGACCACGGCGCGGAACGCGGGGGGCCCTATGGGGAGGAGGCTGTTGTTGTGGGATATGGGGATACCCGTGTGGGGACCCACTACTGGGATATGGGGATAGCCCGTATGGGGACCCACTATTGGGATACAGGGATATCCTGTATGGGGACTCACTATTGGGATATGGGGATAGCTCCTATGGGGACCCACTACTGGGATATGGGGATAGCCCATATGGGGACCCACTACCGGGATATGGGGATAGCCTGTATGGGGACCCACTATTGGGATGTGGGGATAGCTCCTATGGGGACCCACTACTGGGATATGGGGGACCCACTATTGGGATATGGGGGTAGCCCATATGGGGACCCACTATTGGGATATGGGGATAGCTCCTATGGGGACCCACCACTGGGCTATGGGGGAGCACTCACCGCTCTCAGGATGCTCCACCCAGGTGCAGGTGACCCCCCCCAGGATGCTCTCACTGAACCGGATCAGGAACGTCCCCGTCCTCTTCCCCTTCAGCAGCTTCTTCTCCTGCTTCCGGCTCACGAAGCCCAGGATGAGCCTGGGGGAGGCCCCATCAGCACCCCCCAGGGACCCCCCCATTGATCCCCCCCCCCCAGCCCCTTACCCATCCTTCCAGAGCTGCTTGAGGTGCTCCTGGAGCAGCCCCAGGATCCCGTCCAGCCAAGCCCAGAAGGAGAAGCCAGCGGCACCATCCTACAGGGAACAGGGGGGCCATGCGGGCCATAGGGGGCTATGTGGGCTATAGGGGCTATAGGGGGACTATGGGGGGCAATGGGGGGCAATGGGGGCCATAGGGGGCTATGGGGGGCAATGGGGGACTATGGGGGGGCTATGGGGGCCATAGGGGGCTATGGGGGGCAATGGGGGGCTATGGGGGCCATAGGGGGCTACGGGGGGCAATGGGGGACTATGGGGGGCAATGGGGGGACTATGGGGGGCAATGGGGAGCTATGGGGGCCATAGGGGGCTTTGGGGCTATGGGGGCTATGGGGGACTATGAGAGGCAATGGGGGGACTATGGAGGGCAATGGGGGGCTATGGGGGGCAATTGGGGCTCACCTTGGAGAACTTGGTCCAGCTCAAGGTGCTCTCTGGAGACGGCTTCGAGCCTTGGAGGGGGAGCGCAGGGTGAGGGGGGCAGGGGTGGGGGGCAGGGGTGAGGGGGTGTCGGGGCCCGGCCCCCCCGTACCGAAGAGCTTCTCGGCCAGCATGAGGAGGTGCTCCCGGGCCAGGCCCCGCTCGGCCACGCTCTGGAACTGCCAGCTCAGCACCTGCGCCAGCAGCGGCCACGGCGCCGCGGGGGGGGCCGAGAAGAACTGGAACTGGGGCTCCTGTGGGGCGGGAGCGGTGGCATGGGGAGGGGAGAGGGACCGGGGAGGGGAATGGGATGGAGAATAGGCACTGGGGTGGAGAATAGGGACTGGGGTGGAGAATAGGGACTGGGGTGGAGAATAGGCACTGGGGTGGAGAATAGGGATGGAGAATAGGGATGGGGATGGAGAATAGGCACTGGGGTGGAGAATAGGGATGGGGATGGAGAATAGGGACTGGGGTGGAGAATAGGGACTGGGGTAGAGAATAGGGATGGGGATGGAGAATAGGGACTGGGGTGGAGAACAGGGATAGGGTACAGGGACATGGAACAGGGATTGGGACAGGGACAGAGCACAGGGATAGGGACCAGGACTGGGACCAGGGAGATGCACTGAGGCAGAGCACAGGGAGCCAGAGCCCTGCACCAGGCACAGGGGGCCAGGGCCATGCTGGGGGGGGGGGGGGGGGTCCCACTTGCCTTAGGGTCGGGGCTGAGCATGTTGAACCAGAGGATGGAGGCCCAGGCGCTGGAGAGCTGGCTGTTGTTGGAGATGATGACGAAGGGCAGCGTGGAGGTCTGCGGGGAGAGCAGGGCTCAGGCTGCACCCCCGGCCCCCCCGGCGCCCCCCGGGCCCATCGCTCACCTCCAGCTCCAGCTCCAGCCCGCAGTACGCGTACGCCAGCGTGAAGGTGATGAGGTGCAGCTCCTCCGTCACCACCACGGGGCCCTATGGGGCAACGGGGTGGGGTGGGGGGGTGTCACCGTGGGGCACCGGCCACCCCCATTGCCCCCCATTGCCCCCCAGCAGCGCTGCACCCACCTCGCCGCTGCCTTTGCTGCCCTTGCCGGCCCGGCTGTCCTTCTGCTCCTTCAGCGTCTGTGGGGCGGGACAGGCTCAGGGGCGGCGTCCTCGCCCCATGGAGGACTTGGGGGTGTAAGGGGGGGGATCCGTACCAGGTACTGGAAGTCGCAGACCAGCCCCTCCTGGGGACTGTCCCCTGCCAGGAGGGTTTTGCTGCTCGATGTCAGGATGTTGAACCTGCGGAACCTGATGGGGGGCAGATAAAGGCAGCGGGTGGGGGGCCGGGACCCCCGGATGGGGTGGGTCGGGGCACATCCCCTGCATCCATCACTCATCTCTCACCCCTTTATCTTGGGGGGGTCCCTGCAACAGACAAGAGAGCATCAGCTGGGACCCCCCCCTCGTTGATGCGCTGATGGACGGGGCGGCGGCGGGGAGGGGGGGGTCCGGACCTGTCGATGTGGATCGAGGTCTCCATGGGGTGGTTGCGGTCGTGGAGGCGCAGGAGGAGGCGGGCGCGGGCTGAGAACTTGGTGGCGGTGCGGAGCACGAGAGGGCGCTTGAAGGCGTTGGGCATCGTGGGCTGCTGCTCCACCACGAAGGCTCTGCCATTGGGGGGGGGGGGGTGTGTCAGGACCACCCCCCTTTTACACCCCCCCGATCCAATGCGTGTCCCCCTCACCTCTGTATCAGGTACGAGAGCAGCTCCTTGAGGCGCTTCTCCAGGAGCGGGGGCTCTGCCTTGAGCGGGTCCCTCTCGTAGGTCACCTTCAGGCGCAGCTCCCCCAGCGCCCGCAGCAGCCGCAGCAGCTGGAAGAGCCCCTGGCCCAGCTCCGTGAACCTGCGGCACCGGGAGGGGGCTCAGTGGGGTCCGGTCCTTGCCCCCGCTCCATCCCATCACCATCACTACCAGGTCTCCAAGGGGCGCAGGTTGGTGTCCTCGGGGGCCCCCATGCAGGCGCGCTGCTGCCGGTCCCTCCACGCCTCCAGCTCCTGCAGCACGAAGTCCTGCAGCGTCTCGCTGCGCCCCAGGAGCTGCTGTATCTGAGCCAGCACCTCCTATGGATGGACACGGGGATGAGCGGGGTCGGGGGGGGGAAGCCCTTAAAGCCCATCCGTGGAGCCCCCATCCTCACCCGCCGCTGCCGGTCCAGGATCTGCAGCTTGGCCTGGAGCGCTTGGATCTGCTGCGCGTACTGGGGGTCATTGGTCCTGTCCTCGCCTGCGGGTGGGGTTTGGGGGTTCAGGGGGTTCGGGGGGGGCCCAGGGCGGCGCGGGGCAGGATTGAGCCTTACCCGGCACGTAGTGCACCTTGAAGCAGAAGTCAAAGGCGTCCTGCATGTCCTCGAGGTGCCGGAAGGCGCGTTCCGCTTCCTGGGGGGGGGGGGTACAAGGGGGTGAGGAAGCAGGCAGCCCCCCCCCCCCCTTTCCCCCCGGGACATGGGGATGGGGACATGGGGGTCTGGGGTGGGGGGGGGTCCGTTACCTGCAGGGCTGTGTGGAGCTCAGCCAAGCGCCGCTGGATCTGCTGCTCGCGGTCGTTCCTCGGGGACGGGCTGGGCGCTGGGGCTGCCCCCCCCTATGGAAACAGGGGGGTGCTGTGGGGCAGAGCCCCATGGGGTGCACTGGGAAGGGGGGGGGGACACCTGCCCTACCTGCCCCCCCGCCTGCCCCAGGCGCAGGATGCGCCGCTCCTCCCGCAGCAGATTGGCCACCAGGTTGGCGAAGGTCTCCGGGCACTCCTCGAACTTGGCCTTGAAGGGGCTGAGGGGGTCAGTGGGGGGCAGAGACCCCCCCCCCATCATGGACACCCCCGTCCCCAGCACCCCCTCCCATCGCCTACCTGCAGGTCCCGATGGGCCTTGCGGAGGTTGTGCCTCAGCATGAAGTCCTCATTGCCCAGCCCCAGGCTGCCCAGGCGCTCCCAGAGCAGCACCAGCAAGGAGTGGAAAAGCATCCGGGCATGGGAGGAGAGCGGCTCCGCCGCCTGGCGCCTGCGGCACCGGGGGCTCAGCACCGGCCCCGCAGCGCCCGCATCCCGGGGTAACCCCGGCCCCGGCCCCGTTACCAGTTCTGGTCCTCGATCCACGCAGCCAGGCACTGCCGCACGGCCATGGGCAGCGCGGCCCCGGCGTACAGCTCGTGGATCTGCTCCAGGTACGCGTTGGCCAAGTTCTGCACCTCCTGCCATTGTGCCATGCTGGGGGGGACGGCGGGGGGTCAGGGCGTCTCATAGAGCACCCCACAGAGCACCCCATAGAGCACCCCACAGAGCACCCCATAGAGCACCCCACAGAGCACCCCACAGAGCACCCCATAGAGCACCCCATAGAGCATCCCATAGAGCACCCCATAGAGCACCCCATAGAGCACCCCACAGAGCACCCCATAGAGCACCCCATAGAGCACCCTATAGAGCACCCCATAGAGCACCCCATAGAGCCCCCCACAGAGCACCCCATAGAGCACCCTATAGAGCACCCCATAGAGCACCCCATAGAGCACCCCACAGAGCACCCCATAGAGCACCCCATAGAGCACCCTATAGAGCACCCCATAGAGCACCCTATAGAGCACCCCATAGAGCATCCCATAGAGCACCCCATAGAGCACCCCATAGAGCACCCTATAGAGCACCCCATAGAGCACCCTATAGAGCACCCCATAGAGCATCCCATAGAGCACCCCATAGAGCACCCTATAGAGCACCCCATAGAGCACCCCATAGAGCACCCCATAGAGCACCCCATAGAGCATCCCATAGAGCACCCCATAGAGCACCCCACAGAGCACCCCACAGAGCACCCCATAGAGCACCCCACAGAGCACCCCATAGAGCACCCCATAGAGCACCCCACAGAGCACCCCATAGAGCACCCCACAGAGCACCCCACAGAGCACCCCACAGAGCCCCCCACAGAGCCCCCCATAGAGCACCCTATAGAGCACCCCATAGAGCACCCCATAGAGCACCCTATAGAGCACCCCATAGAGCACCCCACAGAGCACCCCACAGAGCACCCTATAGAGCACCCCATAGAGCACCCCATAGAGCACCCCATAGAGCACCCCCCAGACCACTCTCTACCCCTATAGAGCACCCCCCAGACCACTCTCTACCCCTATAGAGCACCCCATAGAGCACTCTCTACCCCTATAGAGCACCCTATAGAGCACCCCATAGAGCACTCTACCCCTATAGAGCCCCTTACAGAGCACCCCCCAGGGCTCCCCGCACTCCCGTACCTGCCCGCAGCACGGTGCTCCCGGGTCCCGCTGCTCCGACGGGAGCGCCCCGCGCCGCAGCCCCGTCCTGGCCCGGGAGGGAGCCCTGAGCCGCGGGGCTCACGCACCCCCCGCTCCTCCCGTCGCCCCTCGCAGGGACCCCCCGACACCGACCCCCCCCCGTTCACCCCGATGGGGTCCGGGCACCCCGGAGCCCCCCAATGGAGCCCTCAAGGGGGGGTCCCCCCCCGCCGGTCCCGGGGTCCCTGTCCCGGGCCCCCCCCCTCGGGTCCCACCTCGGCCGCTACCGGCGCAGGAAGGGGAGTGGCCACGCCCCCCCCCGCCCGCTGCTCGCGATGATTGGCGGAGCGCGGAGGAGAGGCCACGCCCCCTCCAGGGGCGCAGGGGTGGTTCCAGCGGGGTTGCCCGCTTCCCCGAAATGACGTCACGGGGCGGGGCCAACGGGGAAGCAGGGATGGGGACAGCGGGAGATGGGGAGAGGGACATGGAATGGGGGGACTGGGATAGGGATGGGGGACAGAGGGGTAAGGACATGGGGACAGGGATATGGGGATAGGGATGGGGGACAGAGGGGTAAGGACATGGGGACAGGGATATGGGGATAGGGATGGGGGACAGAGGGATAAGGACATGGGGACAGGGATATGGGGATAGGGATGGGGGACAGAGGGATAAGGACATGGGGACAGGGATATGGGGATAGGGATGGGGGACAGAGGGGTAAGGACGTGGGGATAGGGATATGGGGATAGGGATGGGGGACAGAGGGGTAAGGACGTGGGGATAGGGATATGGGGATAGGGATGGGGGACAGAGGGGTAAGGACATGGGGATAGGGATATGGGGATAGGGATGGGGGACAGAGGGATAAGGACATGGGGACAGGGATATGGGGGACATAGGGATAAGGACATGGGGACAGGGATATGGGGACTGGGATATGGAATAGGGTACTGGGACAGGGATGGGGGACATAGGGGCAAGGATATGGGGATAAGGATGGGGGACACAGGGATAAGGACATGCAGACAGGGACATGGAATAGGGGGACATGGAATGGGGGGACTGGGACAGGAAGGGGGACATAGGGATAAGGACATAGGGACAGGGATATGGGGATAGGGATGGGGGACATGGGGACAGGGATATGGGGATAGGGATGGGGGACATGGGGATAAGGACATAGGGATAAGGACATGGGGACAGGGATTTGGGGATAGGGATGGGGGACATAGGGATAAGGACATGGGGACAGGGATTTGGGGATAGGGATGGGGGACATAGGGATAAGGACATGGGGACAGGGATATGGGGATAGGGATGGGGGACATGGGGATAAGGACATGGAGACAGGGATGTGGGGATAGGGATGGGGGACATGGGGATAAGGACATGGAGACAGGGATGTGGGGATAGGGATGGGGGACAGAGGGATAAGGACATGGGGACAGGGATATGGGGATAGGGATGGGGGACACAGGGATAAGGACATGGGGACAGGGATATGGGGATAGGGATGGGGGACACAGGGATAAGGACATGGGGACAGGGATATGGGGATAGGGATGGGGGACATGGGGATAAGGACATAGGGATAAGGACATAGGGACAGGGACATGGGGATAGGGATGGGGGACATGGGGATAAGGACATGGGGATAAGGACATAGGGACAGGGACATGGGGATAGGGATGGGGGACATAGGGATATGGACATGGGGACAGGGATGTGGGGACAAGGAAGCAGGAGGCCAAGGAATTGCGACAGGGACACGGAGGGGGAGCCCTGGGGACAGTGACGGGGCCAGGCCGGCTGCCACCACGTGGCTCTGACGAGGCCGCCCCGAGGGGCCAAGGTCCCCGTGTCCCGGGGCAGGGCGGCCCCACATCGATCCGACCGCAGCCAAGGGACACGGAGCCAGCCCCGGGGGCTTTATTCACACCACGAGCACGGGGCCGCTGTGGGCGCTGGGCACCGTCGGGGGCTCCCCCTCCGACGTGAAGTAGGCGATGAGCGCCCGCACGCCAGCCTTGAGCCCCGGCTGCAGCCCCATCTGCACCCCCAGCGCCACGGGGCCGCCGGCGGCAGCGGCGATCGCGGCCAGGCTGGCGTAGCCCAGGTCCTCGGCCGCCTGCAGCGCCCGCCTGGAGGCCAGGGCCTCGCAGCCCTGGAAGGCGAAGTAAACGCTGGTGCCCAGGTTGTAGAAGGCGCTGACGCCCGGCACCCACTCCAGCACCCCGTGCGCCTCCCGCTCCCCCGGCGGGGCGCAGGCATCGTCAGCCCCGCGCTGCCTCCGCACGGCCCCGCTGCAGCGCGGCCCCGCGATGCTCCGGGATGCGGCGGCACCGGGCGCGCAGGGCTGCGCCAGGCGGAGCAGGACCTGGGCCACGGCCTCGGGAGCCGGGTCCCGCCGCAGCCGCGCCAGACCCCGCAGCAGCGCAGCGGCCGCGGCCGGACCCAGCTCCCGCATCAAGCCCCGCACCTCGGCTTCAGCCTCCGGGCTGCAGGCGGCGGCGCTGAGCGCCAGGGCCATGGCGGCGCGGACCAGAGCCCTGGGCAGCGCTGGGAGCGAGGGGAAGCCGGGCAGGGCTGCGGGGAGCAGGGCCCCGCACGGGAACGCGCGGTCCCGCAGGGGCTCGGACGGCTTCTGCTGCGCCAGCTCCGCCAGCAGCGCCGAGGCACCGGGGCCGGCACCCAGCGCCGTGGGCACGGACCCCGGCAGGAGGAGGAGGAGGAGGAAGAGCAGAGCCCCGGGCATGGCGCAGCTCCGGGATCGCCTATGGAAGGGGCAGAGAGCTGTTAACCCCCATGGCATAACCACGGCCCTTAGGGTATAACCACGGCCCCCCCATGGTATAACCACAGCCCCCCATGGCATAACCACATCCCCTAGGGTATAACCACAGAACCCTGTGGTATAACCACAGCCGCCCCCCATGGCATAACCACGGCCCCTAGGGTATAACCACAGAACCCTATGGTGTAACCACAGCTGCCCCCCATGGGATAACCACAGCCCCTAGGGTATAACCACGGCCCCCCCCCCGGGATAACCACGGCCCCCCCTGGTATAACCACAGACCCCCCCATGGTATAACCACGGCCCCCCCATGGCATAACCACGGCCCCCCATGGTATAACCACAGCTGCCCCCCATGGCATAACCACAGCCCCTAGGGTATAACCACGGCCCCCCCTGGTATAACCACGGCCCCCCCATGGGATAACCACGGCCCCCCATGGTATAACCAGGGCCCCCAGGACCCCCCATCCCCGGCTCACCCACTCACCGGTGGTCCCGGTCCCGGCCCCGTCCCAGTGCTGTGGCTGCGGGCGCAGCCCCTGCGGCCCCTTTATAGCTGCTGTTATCAGGGGCTGTTGCGACACGTGGGGCTTGGCCCTGGGGCAGGGACAGGGCAGTGTGCACGGGCAGGACCCCAGCCCCAGCCCCACAGAGCAGAGGAGGCCAAGAACGGCATTGATTTATTGAACAGTTACAGAGTTTAATGAGGTCGGGGAAAAAACACCCCAGGAAGTAACAAAATCCATGGGGAAACGGGGATCTGGGGATAAAACAAGGAAATGGAGAGACCAGGACAAGGGGGGAAAGGTGCTTCCACAGCACCCTTAAAACCTGTGTGAAACAGCCCATGGGGAGCTTCAGTCTTCATCCTCCTCCTCCTCCTCTTCCACGCATCGGAGGCGCTTCCTCCTCCCCAGGGGCTGCAGCTCCTCATCCTCCTCATCCTCGGGGGGCAGCGCTGGGGCTGAATGGAGCAGGGAAGGGGCTGAGCACCCAATCCAGGGGTGCCGGGACAGGGGCACCCATGACCCCCCCCCCTCCCCACACTGTCCCCCAGCGCCAGGCTGGACCCACCGGAGCTGCCGGAGGCCTCGTCCTCGCTGTCGAGGTCCCGTTGCCTCTTGGTGTGGGGCTGCACAGGGCTGGGGTCAGGCTCCTCACTGCAGTGGTGGGGACAGGGCTCAGGGACCGGCTCAGGGCCCCCCGGTGTGGGGATGGGACCAGTTCTCACCTCTCCGAATCCGGCGGCTGCGGTGATGCTGCTGGGCACAAGAGCCATGGAATCAATGGGGTGGGGAAGGGCTTGCAGAGCATCGCCTCCAAGCGCTCCGAGGCCTTACCTGGGTCAGGGTCCTGTGGGCACTGGGGTGGCTCCGGCAGCTCCCGGGGGCACCCCGAGGGGTCGGGGCCGTGGTGGGTGATGGAGGCGGCCGCCCGGCGGAGCAGCCGTGGGGTGAGCGCAGCCGGGATGCGCCAGAAGGTTTCCTGGGTGGAGAGGGGAGAGGGTGCAGGGAGAGGATGGGAGCAGGGGATGGGAACCGGGATGGGGATGGAGACAAGGAGGGGACGGAGATGGGGATGGGAATGGGAACGTGGATGGGACCAGGGACAGGGATGGGACCTGGGATGAGAATGGAAAGCAGGACTGGGATGAGGATGGAGACAAGGAGGGGAGAGGGATGGGAACAAGCATAGGGACAGGGATGGGAAGCAGGATGGGAAGGGGAAGTGGGATTGGGATGGGGATGGAGACAAGGATGGAGACAGGGAAGGGAACAGGGATGGGAAGCAGGCTGGGAAGGGGAAGTGGGACTGGGATAGGGATGGAGACAAGGATGGGGACCGGGATGGGGACCAGTGCTGGCGCCCGGTCCCTCACCTGCTCGCTCTCGGGGGGCCGCAGCCCCAGCCACCGCAGCAGGGCCTGGAAGCGCCGGTTCTCCATCGCGTCCTCGTTCTCCTCCGAGAGCGGCACCAGCGGCACCGGGTGGGAGGTGCCTGAGCCCCGGGAGCCCGGTGAGCACCGGAGCGAGCCCCGGGCCCCCCCCAGCCCCTGCCGGTCCCGTGTCCCCCCCCCCCTCCCCACTCACCATCCTCCTCCCGGTCCCCCGCCGTCCTCCGCAGGCAGCTCTGGAGCCAGCGCAGGGGCCCGGCCAGGCCTGCGGGACAGCGATGGGTGATGCAGGATGCGGCCCCGCAGCCAAGCAGAGCCCGACCGGGGGGGTTCTGAGCCCCGAACCCACCTTCCTGCTGCAGCCGCTGCGCCAGGCCCTGCCCAGCCCCTTC